GACCGTACCATACGAACTTAGTAAAAACGGCGTAGCGTAGGTACAAGTTCGATTTTTTTGTTAGGCAAAGGTCAGACCAGTATTGACTCCTTTGTATCATTGAATTTGTCGTACGGTGTGGATATTCAATTTCGGAAATATCGTAAGTACTCCAGTCTTCTATGAGATCATCTCCATATGGGTACCTGATATTCATATCAATATCAGATCCTAACATTGAGTCCACTGGGCTCAAAGCGATCACTTTGCAGTGAGGGACATCGGAATGGCTTGGTAGAGGCATATCGTCATCTATCTGCAACGAATCCTCAGATGAAATATATCGTTTGACATGAGGGGAATGCGGCATTAGATGATCAGGTGGTCTAGGCAGTGGTATAGTTTGAGCGTCTTATTCAGATCTTCTTTAATCGGTTCCATGTTACGGCATTTGATTACTGCTAAACGGCTATTCCTAGTACGACTCCTCCTACCATGCTTACTATTAAGAGATAGTCACTGCTCATGTTGGGACTGGCTACCTGCATGCCTCCTTCGTGACTTTCGGGGTCTCCTGGTCCTGGCAGCTCATTAATAGTGTTATGTACCATGAGTTTGATCTTAAGTTCTGCCACAGCGGGCTGAAAAATAGACGCCGCTACCGTAAATTTTAATTATCCTCAAGTGAATCGTATCTGTTGATTTCTTAGGAACGTAAATATATACACCGCTTAGTATTTCTTTCATGTGTAAATTGGCCTACTTCGCGACTCTGTGTTTCTGTGCTCGCCGGTAGATCTAATTATTTTCTTCAATTTTCCGTAACGTGGTTTACGTATTATACGATATGTGGGATTGCTGCTTGTTAGTTTTTGCTAGCGTGTGTAGCATCCAAAGATCGCAAAGATATCCTGGTCTTGTCACCCATCAGAACAGCTAACGGACTGATCTGCATTAAAGGTTGAACTTCGACGTTCACTTCTATGTTTGTTATTTGTGCAATGGTCCCTATATATCCCATAACCTGTACAAAAACAAAAAAAGAAATAATAAGCATGGTACAATTCGGTGTATTTCACAATAAATAATGTATATATGTTCTTCAAGTAACATTTAATTTACTGTGTTAATGAAGTTGAAGGCATTGTTTCTTACCTGAAAACTATCATTGGCTGTCGTCATATCAGTCTGCATAACATGACATTCGATGATTCAAGGTCTGATGCGAAAAACTAAAAGCTCGTACATCTTTCACATACAAAACTCCATCCCTTGGAGAACGCGTCACATTGAAAAATATTCTGAAATATTATGACAAATCAAAAATGTTGTCGCTACTGTTTAATAAGATATCTGAGGTGAGACTTCTCGTTACAGAGTATATGAATTTATTTTGCAAAATTGAAATTAACTACACAAAAATTAATTTTGTTCATCAATATCAATTACCTATTCGGATTGGCATTGGTGTCAACAATGAACTGTTCCTTCCTCAACGATGCAACATTAGATCCTTGTTGCAAATATATTGGTTCGCCTGAAGTGATATTCAATTCGACCGGAAGAACATGTATATTGAAAACTGTGTACGCTGGTTTGAATTTGCCATCCCACACGCGGAAGTAGAATGTCGTCATCTGAGTAGTTCCGGAATGTTCGTAAATTATCCTTTCGTTGTTGATGTCGTCTTGAGAAAACTTATTGATGTTTATTGTTTCTTCGAAGGTATTGGTATCATGATTTTTTTGTCTATAAATTAATCTGCCTTGCGTGGGACCGCTTATTATGTCGTACAAAAGTTCTTCAGGAGGAGTATCTAAATCTTCTGTTTAGCAGGTCTTCAGAATTTAATGTTATATTTTCGCCCTGCACAACCGACACGTGCGGCGCTTGGGTTACCAATCGGAATGGTTGATCGTTTATAGGCGTAATCTTTATAGGAATGGTCACGTTGCAAAGAAGTATGTATCTAAAGTAAAATAATATAAACATATAAGAAAATTGCAATTAAAAAAATATTTGTTATATTATATTTAGAAAACAATTGAACAATTTAATTGTAATAAATATAAGGAAAATCGTGAAATTATAATTTTTTTTTCAAAAATGTTCAATAAATGTAATATGTATATTTGTATATAACTTTTGGTACTTACTCCGGTAACAGATAGATCGCAAGTTTTATGAAATCTTCAACTGTGTCTGAGTGATCATGTTGATATTTTACTTGTCCTGAATCTAGTTCATTTTGACTATATATAGTGATATTAGGATCCTAGAAAAAATAATTGCATTCCTTAGTTTTTAAGTTAGAAAAGAAGTCGAATTTTAGCAATGCTGATAATTATTCAACAATGGCATTTTATTATGCGTTCAGATGAATGTAGTTAAAAAAATTATTAAACTTAAATAAAAAAAAAATAAAATAATACTGACCTGCATAAACGATATTACACCATGCTGAGGTTGCGATGCATGCGCATGGACAATGGGCGACATAAGACCTGCGTGGCTCTCTAAAAATTCAACAATGGAAGACAAATTAAATCGTACAACGGCTGTTCCACCCTCTGGCAAAAGTAATGGAGGTACTGATAAACATCTGTCCAAGCCGCCCGATGATACTGATATGTCTATAGATAAATGCTGAAAATAACAAAATGTAAAGTTTATTTGGAAAGGAAATTGTTTTTGATAAAATCGTTATTAAACACTGACCTCATTTGTAATCGTTTCAGCTAAATTTGAAGCAATGTCAAATATAATGGAATCATTAGCATTCATATCACTGAAAGGATGAGTATGCTCATAAAATATTCGACTCATATTAATATCGGCCTGTGTAAAACTATGAGTTACTTGACTAAAAGAGCCGTCATCTGATTCCATAACCAATCTGCCGAGAGTGGGTCCGTATTTTACAATATATTTTATTTCCCTGCCATTATCAGTTGATATTGTCAACAAATGGTTAGGCGTGAGCGGCTTTCTCAATAATGGAAATATGTGAAAATTATTTTTAGTAATTAGTTTCAACGTGACGGGATTTGTTGTTATGTAAAAACTTTGTTCGGGCGTCGAATGTATACCATCACTGACCGTGAAAAGGATTTTGCCGCTAGTATCGTTTGTATGCACGAATGAGATTTTGCCATTGATTATTTGATCTTGGGTGAAACTGAATATTGGTTCGTTAGGCGATCCAGAAAGAGCAACATGTCCGCCTCTTACCACTAAAACATTAAATGTCAAGTTTTCTGGCGGCGTGTCATTATCTTTTACATATAAATCATTTGCTCCAATTACTCCAATTCCTCCTTTCCACATATCAAGACCACTGTTTGTTAATATAGTTGGAGTCTCATCATTGATCGGTGTAACATGAATTTTCAAAGTGCTTGGAAGGCTTTCCCTATTGTCAACAATTGCTATTATTACAGCACTATCTTCTAAATTTTCACTACCGTTGTGTACATATACTACGGCATTTGCTTCTAACTGTTTATATGAAAACCTTGTTATTTTATCTTTGAGTTTACCAAAGGTTAGTATACCATAGGAAGGTTGTTTCTTAATCTTAAACTCTGTTACTTTACCCCTATAGTAGTCTGACAAAATTTGTAGATTATTTTGGATAGAACTACCGATTTACCTTCTACAACATATAAATCGTCGGTTCCGAGGTATATATGTTCAGGTAGAATAACAACGTTGAGAGCTAAATTCGGCAATGTTGTGATGCCATTAGATATATTAAAAACTATTCTATCTGCTGTTTTATTGACTCCTGATTGAATATAATGCAATTTTCCAGCATTGATGACTGATTGATCAAATATTCTAGTATCTTGAATATCTTCTTCACCCACCATAGTGTTTTTTTGCAATTCTAGATATCCATATTCTGGCATTTCAGTTATTATATACATTATATCAGATGCCGGTATTAATGGATGCAATACATCTAAATGCTGTTTAGTTATTACAGCACTTGTGGATTCTTCAACTAAAAGCGAATTGTTTGCTACAATTTGCAAGGGCTCCCAATAACTAGCCGGATACACTTTGATATAGTAGAAATTACCATCCATTGAAGTATTAAGTGCCGATAAGTGATATTTAAAATTGTCTCGACTAGTAGAATAGGTAGTACTTTCGTAGCATACGATGCCCTTGATTAAATCTTCTTGAGTAAAAGTGTTTGTCGTTATATTATTTACTTTGATGCTACCATGGTTTGGACCATCCACAACCTCGTAAATAATATCTTTATTTTTACAATTTATATTCGTTTCGATATCCAAATCCTCACTGGATATTGTGATAGATTTTCCATTTTGAACTATTGACCCGTTGCTTATCAAATTTCTTATGAATGGTTCAGAAGCTTTAACTTCCAAAAAGCCATTAACGTCAAATTCACCATCGTTTACCAAGAAGTTTATTTTGCCATTACTTTCACCTTCATGTTGAAATAGAATTTTACCGCTATTTACATCTTGCTGAGTAAACTTGTATATGGGTTTAATCATATTATTCACGTTAAAAATGTTGCCAAAGGATATTTCTTCTCTGGTGTATATTATATTTTCCGGTTTAGTGTCTATATCAGCATCAATGTAAAGCAAATCTTTTCGAGTAATTAATTTCGAACCATGATTAACAACGTGGAATATCTTATTGAAAGCCTGTTTAGGACTATTATCGTTATTCAGATTTACGTTTATGCGAAACGCGCCAACATACTGAAAATCATGCTTCTCATCCGAGAGTGCCATAAAATAAAAACTATCATTTTTACTTTCAGAGTCATCATGAACATAAAATACTTCATTATCATCTAATTCTTGTGAGGTAAAAAACTTTATATTACTTCTTATTTTCTTGTCCTTCATGACAATTTGTAAAACTCCGTGCTTTGGTCCTATACTTATGTTATAAGTCAAATCTTTTATACCAGTCGCATCAAAATTGAAATGCGACTTTGTAATTCCGACGCGAGCACCTTCATCAACTTTCAACGATGTGAGTATTACTGTTTCATTAGTAATTGACGGAGAACAATTTATTGTCAATGACCCATAACGATCTTCACATTCCGCTATTGATACTTTGTAGAAAAATTCATCTAGTATTGGCGAGTGGGCAGTTCGATATAATACATATTTCACACGGTCTTGGTCCAAATCTTGTTGGGTGAAAACACCGTTAACCTGTAATTGTATGCTCAAATTAAATTTATTTACTATTTACCATTTTAATAAATTTTATATTAAGTGGGTATTCTAGTCTAGAAGAAAAAATATTTTTTTGATATTTTCGAACTTTAACTAGTTTTAGGGGGAAGTCCCGTAACGCCGGACGGCACATAGCACCCGGACACTCTATTTAACATGTATTATTTAAGCGAGTGCAAATCTTTTTATTTCAAAATACAAGTGAAAGGGGCGCGGGGGGCACACAGGTGCAGGATAACGCGCGAAGCCTCACCTGTGATGCACATGACCACGGCGAGGGCAACACTTGCTGTTTTAGGCGCAAAATCACGGCGTCACCTAAATATCAATGGAAGTAATTCTAGTATATTTATGCATTTACATTTAGGTGGTATGCAAATATAAAAGTAGCACTTGATTGTTATCCGTAAAATGGTAGAATATTATTGGATCTTTTAAACAATTTCAGTAGGTACCACCAAATGAACGAAAATGTCTGTACCTTAGCACCAGACACTAAGTCGTCCCTTAGTGCCGGACAGTAAATATATTGATATTTCTTGTGAGAATTTACGTTATTTATTCTAATTATTTAATTTTGTTCTGTATGAGTGCTCATACCCCCATTTTTCGTATTTCCTAATCAAACAATGAAAAGTTATGATGTATGCACCAGCTGAGAGCATCGGTGTGGCCTAGCCAAAAGGGTGGGTGAATTGTGACTTTTTTTGCAATATCTAAAATATTAGTCAAACACACATGTGCAGACATTCCAGAGTCTTCCAGAGATAGTGTGAAGATGGCTACAGATGGCTGCACATGAAATGTCCGGTACTAGGTGCCACTTTTTAAAATTATATTTTTTTGTTACCAACCTTTGATTGATACTATTAATTATTTTTTAAGAGAGGTTGCATTTTTATTAATTTAGTTTGATATCTAACTTTGTTATCAAACATAAGTCATAATTTAATAAATATTTCGTAAAATATTTTTTGATTTATTTCTAATTAACCTTAGGTGTCCGCCACTAGGGGACTTTCTCCTAGAATTTAAATTATTTTCGAAGATATAGGCATTTGATTACAATAATTGTCCTCTGTTCCATTCCTTTAAACGCGATTTTTTCGAAACTGTTTTTTTTAAATACGATACCCACGACATCTCAAATTCTATTGAACCGATGTACTTAAAATTTTTACAGAGCCTTCTTTATAGGATTCTCATCAGTAAGCTTATTTTCAAACTTTTACTATTTTTTTTTTAAAAATGAGGGTATTAAAAAAAGTTACATGTTTTCACAAATTTGTCAGTATAGTTTATACGATTGCGACGTTATATTTCTTTAGATTATTTATAGAGCTTAAAATCATGGTTAGGAGTCAGGTGCCATTTTTTGAGAACCCCCACTTCATCACCTGATAGAATTAGAAATTTTTTCCTGTTTTTAATTTTAATTTTTTCTGTATTCTTAAAGCTTTTATTAATAACTTATAAAAAAATGGATAGTAAAAATATTGTTTGCCTTTCTTAAAGCTTTTCAAAATTCACATAAAATTCAGGTTCTAAACTAGAAGATACCTTTAACAGATCATGTTATTGAGATAGTTTTGATGTAATATTTCATATAATTTACATTCTTTCTGGTGTAGTTCGATACAATTCAAAGAAAATAGTAAAAAAAACACGAATGAATGATTTACAATTAATTTTATTCCAACTATATTATACGTTTTTATTACTGCGATGAAAATAAAATAATTATATATTGTAATATTTATTTCAAAAACATATTCATGATGAACATGACAGAGCTTCATATAGATAATCTATCTTGTTTTGCTTACCTGAATTTGTTTTTTGCCTAAATGTAAAAAACCGTATTTTGGAAGACTTGTAAGCTTGTAAGCAATATTGGCATGAGAGGAAGGCATCGGTTCAGTTTGGTACAGTAAATTATTCATAGATATTATTGCTTCTTTTGTACCATTCATTTGAAGGGGTTGATGGGTATGGACGCTGATTTTCAATTTTGTAAATGTTATTCTGAAATCGTATACACTACTGCTTGTATCTCTCACTAAAGCTCGGAACTACAACAAGAAAGAAATATTATTGAATTGATAATAGATGAATCGTGGTGAGCTTTAATATTATTAAATGGATTTACCTTGAATTCATCATATTTCGGTAGACTTACGCTGTGCAAATATCGCACCTGGTTTTGCGACACTTCAGTATTTGTAAAGTAGTCCACACATTGCCAAGTTGAATCAATTTGACGTAGCTTTTGAACACAGCCAAAAGTCGGAGACTTTACTATTTCATATCTACCGAGGAGAAAAACAAAAAACACAATGAAAAGGTTTCATTAAAGAGAAGTTCGGTTCATTAATAATTTTTATGTTATTTACTTTACGCTTACGAGTCCATCTTCTACATTACTCGTGAATTTTAAATGGTTTTCAGTTATAAACGCAAATGCTTTATAGACGAGTATTAAGCCTGTATTATTTACTAATCGAAGTTGTAACGGAATAAAAGAGAGTCTAAGGGTCGCCGGGAGACTCGATTCTATGCCATCCGATACTTGGAAAATTAGCTTAGTGGAGTTGTTCTTGGGAGTTATCTGTAACAAAATGATGAAATAGAAATAATGAATACAGTAACTACTTATGTATATTCGCTACAAAAATTTGATTAAGCTTTATCTCCATCGTATAGATAGTATAAATTACCACTTCGCTTAAGTTCGTATTACCTTTATTATCATATTATTTTTTGTGAAGAATTGAAGTAAAATCTTTCACTAGATTATAGATATATTTAAAGAAAATAAAAATATTAACAATACTTTGAACGCGAAAGCCAAAGAAGGTTGTATCAACATAGGAAAATTTAACTAATTATGCTTACGCGCTTATTATGATTACATCAACTGATTCATATTACATTACCAGTTCACTTTCATATACATACACACACATGCACACACACACATATATATATATATATATATATATATATATATATATATAAGAATATAAAATATACGTATTACACACTAGAAGGAAACATTCCGTTATACCTTTTCCCCTAAATGCACGTAAGATATCAAGCCATCGTTCAAATCCTTCTGCGTAAATTTCAAGACCCTCACTTTATTTCTTCTATATGTCCTGCAGAATTATCCATAGACATTATTGTTATAACTAGATCAGCTATATCAGAGTCAACATCTTCTGCATGAATATAATGAGATGTTAAAATTTTTCTTGTCCCCTGAAAAGAAAAAAATGTAATTTTGAAAGTAATAATCACAATTGTTACATTTAACTTTTCAAAGGATATGTTACAGTAATCACAAAAATAAGAAATGAAATTTTGTACATATCTTTACATTTCAAAAGTTTCTCAATATTTTGGCATACCTTAGAAAAAATTGATGTATGTGTGTGTGCGTATGTGCGAATACAAATTTTTGTCGACGATTTCGAATGTAGTACTTTTTTTTAATGTAATGTAATATGACACGAGTAATTACAAGCTAATTAAATCACTAAATATTCGAAAGTAGTACTTATAAACCGATTTCAATGATTCGGCATTCGATTCCTATTGATAAAGATGAGTTTTGGGAAAGACAGGTATGACTGGCCATTTCGAAGATACCGGACAAAAAGTACAAAAAACGGCAATTTATTATTTCAGATAACAGAGCGTCCGATTTTTAGCGTCATAAAATTTTTCTTTCACGGTTTTGCCAAAAATACTGAATCGGTTTTGAAAATTCATAAACTCTTCAAAAGATCACTCGGGTACCGTGCTGGTTAGTTAGGTAAAGATCGGCTGGGCCTTTTCTCCAGAATCGATTCTTGAAAATTATATTTGTAGATTTTAACTTTGTGTGACGAGAGTTTATTTAGTTCAGTCTTAGCGAACATCTTGAAATATTAGAGGCCTACAAAATTATATATTTTTACTCTGATTAGTCGTTAGTAAAAAGCGAAAAAATCATTTTCGAAATAAACAGCATCAATATTTTATAGTCAATATTTGAAAAGTTTCTAAATTCTTATCGACCATGTTGATTCTTTACACATATCGGAAAGTTCATGCAACTCGCCTTAGGGCAAAGTTCCACTTACACCTAGTTAAGTATGTTTTTGGTAACAAAAATTCATGTTTTCCTTTTAGCCAAATATCAACGATTACTACTAAAACTTATGTTTTAGTATATTTTCTGATTATTATACAAATGTTTGTTAGATAGACCAGAACAAACCCGGTAAAAGCCTTGAAAAATGGTCAATTAAACTCTCTCTCAATAATATTTTTGATTCCATTAAATTTTGTTGAAAAAAGATCAATTACTATAATGTATAAATTATGCAAAAAGTCATTAATTCGACCAGCGCAATTTCAATGTTTTTTATCGATCTTTGCTACAGCCATTTACAATGCGTTTAATTTTACTTTCAAACCCTGTAGGTACTAATATCTTAACTTGGACAATTGTTCGAGTCTATTGAATTTTTCTATTTGTAATCTCGGTCGGGTACTGTAACTCGACCGGGATTCGATCTGAGTACCCTTGTAGTACAAGTCGAGCGCTTAAACTAAACATTTTAATGTTCATTAGCATGTTTTCAAAAATTTAGCTTTGAAATAATATTTTTATAACTATACTTACTTGAGCCATCTGGAACGTTTTCTGTTTATTAACAAATAAGACGGGCGGATCGTTTACGGGAGTTATGTTAAAATGGAGTGCAAATCTGTGTCTACCTTGCAGGTAAATCGGCAGAGCAAATCTCGACTCGTCTACTCTTAATTCCAACTCAAAAATAGCGAAATCTTTTCTTGTCTCTGTTCCATCGTGGATATAGTTCACCTTTTGGTAAATGATATAGATAATAATATAATCATTGCGCAACAAGTTATTGACTAGCATTTACAAAGAGATTTATATATAAAATTATATTATGTGTCTTCATATAGTGATAACTCTCATGACCAATATTTTCGAAAAAAATATTTAAGTTATTATATTATCATAAAATATACTAGTAGCAAAAAGTTCAGGTATTTGGTCTGCAACACGAAGCTAAATACATCATTTAATATATTTTGATATAAATTAACCCTTTCCACTCGGATGCAGCCAGTTATACAGTTATTACGTTACATCTAATGTTTAATATGTTTCATTAAAGAAGTCACGGACTTCATTTCAATTGATAATTTGCTGAAATGTCTGTTCAATAAATGTCAAATAAATTATAGATAGGATTACAGATTTTCTAGAGAAAAATAATTGATAGTTGAAATGATCATTTCGCGTCGGCAAGAATAGATCATCATATTTCATACTATATAAATCATTAGTGATGCATAAATAGAATTCCATAATTATTTCATTTATTAGGACTGTCCAAAATGACAATTTTTGACCAATACGCGTTATGGATTAATGTATTAGACTCGTGGGTACAACATTTTAATTTCATAAAATCGAAGGCGGAAGCGTTTAATTTTGTAACTTATTTAAAAATAATATAACAATATTTTATTTATAGCACTTACTTTTCCTTCACTCAAATCGAGCAATGTGAATAGTTTGTCTTGGTTGATCTGCTGTGTCCACAAATCAAAGCTCAATTGGCCATGTTTCGGCAGTTCGATTACATGAAACAGTACGTCCGTATCTCTCACTCCAAATTTTGGGTAATCAAGTACCATATGAATGTTATTTCGATTAATTGGTCTAGTCTCCCCTTCTGGACACTCTAACGGGGTCAGAGATAGCATTTCCAAATCGACTGCTAAATTTTTAGAGAAAACCTGAAATAAAATATATTTTTTTTATTAAATAATGATTTTTACGGAACGGGTAATAAGTAAAACATTTGGCAAAAATTGAAGACGTTCGAAAGAAAATACAAATCACCCGACCATTGCCAATGATTAGTCGAAGGCTCTATCTAGGAATTTTATGATTAATGCAGAAGAAACTTTCTAAAAAATACAACATCAATATTGAGTGTGACTAGTTGCTATAACATTAGTCCATCATGGTACTTTTCATATTTTAGAAAAATATTATATATTTCATAAAAAAGTTATAATTATTTGAAAAATGATGTTTTTTGAAAAATTTTCAAATTTTTTTTGACTTTTTAAAAAATATTTTTTTTAAAAACTGTTGCAAAATTTGTGAATTTTTATCTTTATAGCTTTTAATATTGAGTTTAAAATTTTACGGCATTAATATACCTTTTGTAATAATAATTCGTTGATAGACTTTCACATCCTTATATGGTTACATTCATACAGTCTTTGGGTAAAAAGATGACAAATTGTAGAAAAACAGTTTCTATAATTAAAATAATTATAATAATTATAATTAAAACAGTTTTTATAATAAAAAAAAACATTTCTATAATTAGAAATTAACTGGGAATTTTATTGAACATATTTCGATAGTTTCTTATTCGATACGCGTTATGTATTTTGATGGTAGTTCATTTAGTTTAGACAGTATAATTACTTAAAATCAAATTGAACCTTTGTGCCCTGCCTAACCTATTATTCAAAATCAGAAACCTTTCAGAAAGTGAAAATAATTATGTTCATTATTAAAATAATATGCGTTGAAGTATTTTCATGAGTAGTTTTTCTTGAAAAAATTATTCGTGTCTTAATTTTCGTGAATATTATTTTCCTCGAGTATTTTTACAGGGCCCGCCTATACATACTATGTTGAGCATAGTTATTATAAGTATAATTGTGTTATTATTAATTTAATATTTACATCTTAAACATTTCTTGTGTGGGTCAAAACAATTTATATGCGCTATTTCCTTCAAAATTAAAATAATAGCATTTTCTCTAGAATTTAGAGTTTTGATGATTTCTAACAGTTTCGGCAGCCATAGTATACCAAAGAAGTAATCATGATTTTAAGAAAAAAATATTTTTGTTTATTTTTCAAAAACCACCTTTTTTAACATTTTGTTTAATTTATTTCTCTACCATATCACGATAATTAGAGGCTAATTTTTTATGCAACCTGATTAATTAACTATGTCTGCAGTATTTGGTTTACTTATAGTTTTCAAAATATTCTATTACGTATATATCATATATACGTAGTAGAATATTTTTAAAAAGATAAGTTTTATTTTTTTATATTAAAACTATTAGCACTGACTTAAATAAAATAGCTCATATATATCAGTGCGTGGACTGCTTTTACAAGTGGTTATAAAAAAGACGGGCTTAAACTTGATGCGCGTAAAATCAAAGAAAAACACGTTCGCCGGTGTTATGTTATCAACAAGTCTATGAAACGTGATAACAAAATCTATTATTGTTTCGAGGTAAAAACATCCACTTTACTCCAAGGCGTAAGTGCTTCTTGTTCTTTGTTCGTTGCAATTTTTGTAATCTCTAACATGAGAGAGATCTGTTCGAGTACTTTGTTTTTGCGTCTATAACGAGCATTTCCAGTGATATGGGCAAAAAGTATAACTTGAAAATTATTATCCCTTCTTTCATTACGCAGAATTTTTTAATATTGCATATAACATAAGTTAGATATATTAGAATATATTGTTCCTTTTTGGATTCGTCAAAAATATTTGATTTTTTGAACTGTTAAATTTTTTTCATGATTAATGTTAAATGTAATATGTCATTTTTACATTGCGATTGATAATGTTTTGATGACGTTTTAGTATCCGAATTAACTTGGTAAGCATATCAAATCTGAATCATAAATCGATTTATCTCGAAGTTTCTATAAATATTGACAACTGTAATTTCAGTTTTTTTTTAATTCATAACTGTCAAATTTATGTCAAGTCAGGTTTTTTTGAAATTTCTAAAAATTAAATATTTATAATATGAAATGTGTTTTTGAGTATAGCCTATCACCCGAGTTGGATACAAATGCATACGGTGAACAAATCAAATTTAAAATCGGTTCAGTAGTCTAAGCGTCCATCGCAAACCAACATCGTGACTATATATATATCTTCTTTATACAAAATACTTTTGCTGTTAAAAAAGATATACCTATATTGAACTCTCGTTTATGATTGTCCTCGTTCAAACAAACTTGGCAAGTTCGTCGCAAAATACACTCCAGCGAGCATTATGCTTTTGTCCCCTGAATATTGAATACGAAATATTTGTATCTCAACTTTTCGTATATTAACTTTATTCAAAGTTTTCCTTAAATTTATGCCCGATATCTGTACTTCATAAAATATGTAACCTAAATATATATATTTACATATTCATATAACCCAAAAACGATTTGCAGAGCGAAATCTTGAATGAAATACAATTGCAGTTTGTGGCATATTATAATTTAAAAAATATTTAATTTAGAAGTCAGAATTAAATCAAGCTTGAAACGTTAATAATTCGTTGCACAGTTTTAGAATTTTCAGAAAAATCACTTTTATATAATATGTATAAATATACACACACATATATATCTATATATATATATATATATATGATATATATAAATATATATATATATATATATATATATATCTTATATATAAAAATGGATCGCAAAATGTGTTGGTAAGCGCATAACTCAACAACGCGTGGACCAATTTGGCCAATTCTTTTTTTAAAATGTTCGTTGAAGTCCAAGGATGGTTGTTACGGCGAGAAAAAAACGAATAATTGCCGGGAAAACCCTAAAAACAGCCCTTTTCTTCTTTAATCGAGTAGGCAACGCAATTTGTAAAAAAAACAATGATCTATGACATGACATTTTGTGTAGTTTTTGATAATCTAATTTTGAATATATTTATATAAACATAGAAATTACTTTCTATTATTCAAGCTATCTTGGCAGCCAAAAACATTGATGTAAATTAATTAAATTTCAAAATTCAAGAACAAATTACGGGCGAATCAGTTGATTCGGCAACTAACCAAGACGATCCACCGGAGTTTTTAAACTCGCTGGATTTGCTAGGATTGTCACCTCACAATCTTCAATTAAAGGTTGGATCGGCAATTATAATGTTGCGAAATATCGACCAACTATATTCAAAGGATAGTATAAAGCAGAAGATGTTCGTTTATGGTATCATTAAGTGTTTGTGGTATTAATTTAGAAAACCCATGCTTCTCACATGGAAAATTGTATGTTGTTTGTTCCCGTATTGGAAAACCATCATATTTATTTGTCTATGCGCCAGGTAATCAAACAAAAAACATCGTTTATCGCAAAGCACTACAATGAAAATTGAACTGATTTTTGAATTATGATTTACATTGTTAAAATCACTTACTTTTAAATGCTTATAGTGTTTTATTTAATTATTTTTAATTCACACCGAATTATTACCAGGGTGACGGTTCTGTTCAGGATAATTTTTTGCAAAGAATAGAGAAAAGGTAGGCACAAAACACCGCCACATTACAATTTTTTTTTGACAGGATGAAGTCTGTCGGGCCGGCTAGTATATATATATATCTTGATAGTTTTTTCGACGTTGAAACATATTTGAAAAAAATTTTTAATAGCCATTCGTCAAAATAAAAAAATAAGTTAAGATAAAATAATTTTCTTTATACTACGTTTCGACACTTGATGTATGCATTCAGTATTCACCAGTTCAAAAGCATAAAACTTATATATCTTGATAAAATTGAATTTTTTATGGAATTTAATACAGAATTATAATTATTAGAAAAAGGAGAAATATATTATATCATTATTATTATAATTCCCGTAGGGTAAGTTATAGTATTCGCAAAAAAAAAACAAAAATGAAATTTTTTATATATCTTTACGTTTTAGAGTTTTCTGAACATTTTGGCATAACTTAGAAAAATGGACGTATGTGTGTGTGCAGATACAAATTTTCGTCGACGATTTTGCGAATACGGATCAACTGATTTGAATAATTCAAAAAACATTCGATTCCTACTGATAAGGAGGCTGATTAGTTTTTGGCAAAGGCAGGTCTTTCAGAGATACGGGGCAAAAAGTGCCAAAAATGGTATTTAAGTTTTTTAGATAATTCAAAAAAAAGTTACTTGTAATGGCGAAATGAACAACTAGTAACTACATTTTTGAAAAGGCGGGTCTAGCGTCTTCGGAAATCCAATAAAAAAGTAAAACAATGCCATTTGGCGGTGAAAAATGAATATTAGACATATATAAATCGTATTATCAGATATTTGTACATTTCTATGGGTTCCTTACCAATGTTTACACATTGGAGACTACGCGACGATTCCAACTCAGCAATGCAGCGCGATTGCTTAAAAAAATGTTCAAAATTTTCGAAAAAAAATTAACATACACAAAAACAAGATATTAAAAAAAAAAATTTCAATAAAGTTAATTTTTTTCAAAAATCTCAAAATTTTTCAAAAATCTATTTTTTTCAAGGTTCCGCAAAGTTTGTTTTAATAATTTAGTTTACGGTACGGGAAGTTCCAGCAATTTGCCTTAAGGCACGATGCCATGCACCACTAGCTAAATGCATAATGGAGAAAAAAGTTGTCAGACTACCCCGTAAAAGTGACCGAACCAATGTCATATGAGATAGATAAATGTGCCCATAATTATGAAATTGGTCTAAGTCAAAATTTAAAAAAAAAAATGAGTTTATCAGTTATTTTATACCACATTAGTTTAAACTAAATGTATTCAATGTAATTTTTAAGAAATTGTCAAAAATGAACCATTAGATAGTGGTTGTAATTTCAACATTATATGGAATTCATTTAGTGTTAATTATGAAAGTGGCCTAAGTCAAAAATTTAAAGAAATTTTATAAACATCTTGAAAATGGCACGTGGCCTTCTTTGACGCGTTTCTGAACATAATTAAACAAGTATAAATAGATAGCAAACTGAACCGCTTTTCGATTATTTTAATTTTAATTTGCCACTCCTGCTACAGAGACGCGACGAGTGTAGCATGAAAATTTACCCCTAGGTTCAATTCTAGATAAATCCAAATCCTTAGGTTTAATTCTAAGATAAATTTATATATAATATTGTTACTATAAATCTGAAATTTTAATATGTGAAATGATAACAAAACATACTCATAAAAAATATATTTTCATATATATTAAAAACATTTTCAAAAATGAAATAAAATTATAATTTAAGCAATAATTAAATAGGAAGACCAAAAATATACGGAAATATTAAATTACTTCCATTATACACCAGCATTAGACCAGTATCGGAAGAAAAACATAAAGATATTATGAGTTTACTACCGTACATCCCTCCAGTTTTTCAGGAATATTTTAAGAATCTTAAATACTCGAAATAATGATAAAAATGGATTACCGTTTAAAAATAAATAATAAATGCTCACGAATTATTTCAATAAAAATTATTGTTTCAAATAAAACTCAAAGTTCTTTATTGCTTTAAGTCATTTATAGGACATTCAGTTAATTTTGAAAATGGTCTAAGTCAATTCAAACTTTAAAAACAATATTATCGTATTTAATTAAGACTAATAAAATTAAAAATTAAAATGTCGCATAATGTAAAAATATTTTTTAATTTATTCAAATGCAAATCATTAAATATCTCGAAACAAGAAAAATATATGACTTAGACCACTTTCATAATTATGGGCACAAATGTAAAGTTTCTTTTACATACCTTGTACTTTTCCGCATAGTCCGGGTTAACGCACATCTTTTGGTCGCATTCGCATTTGAATCCATCGACGCCCCTCTGCTCGCATTGCGCCTCGGCCGAGCAGGGCTGTGGCTGCTCGGAGCACGGGTACCTCCACACGCACTCGCCTGCCGTACCCTGCGTTACGCGCATCGACGGCAAACCAATGGCATGTCCGTCGAGATCTATGCCGCGAATGCAACCCTGGCAAGGTAGAAAAACAAATAAGGACATTATTAGTAAGACGATCATAAATAAATTATAGCAGGTTTTCATAATTCACTCTTTCGCTGCAAGCTTCGCCTATAAGTAAGGTGACCATATTTCTAACTTCCCGTAGGGTAAGTTATAGTAATCGCAAAAAAATCGAAAATGAAAATTTTTATATATCTTTACGTTTCAAAGGTTTCTGAATATTTTGGCATACCTTAGAAAAAATGGATGTGTGTGTATGTGCGTGTGTGCATGTGTGTGCGGATATAAAGTTTCGTCGACGATTTCGGGAACACGGATGAAGTAATTTGAATAATTCAAAAAACATTCGATTCGTATTGATAAGGAGACTTGCTGACTAGTTTTTGGCGGAGGCAGGTCTAGCCGTTCCGAAGATATGGGGCAAAAAGTACCAAAAACGGTACCTCAGTTTTTAAGAGAACGGAGCATCCGATTTTAATAATTCAAAAAACATTTTACTTGTATTGACAAGATGAAGAATTGATCAAATTTTCATGAGGACAGGTCTCGGAGATCTAACGAAAAAAGTAAAAAAAAAATGCCATTTGACGGTCAAAAATGATCATTAGACATATGCACATCAAATTATAAGATATTTTATGGAGATTTTAATAATGTGTCTCAATTTTGTTTACGTTTCTATGGGTTTCGTAACCTCGTTTGTCCGTTAGACGGCGACGCATGCATACGCGCTTTAATATTGCGTCTCTACAAAGTTTTTTTTTACCAAAAAGTCATTTTTTTCAAAAATTTAAAATTTCTCAAAAATCTAATTTCTTCTTTAAAAAAAAAATATTTGGCACGAAAAGTTCCAGCAATTTGCCTTAAGGCACGCTGCCATACACCACTAGCTGTGATTATTAATTCTTTTAGAAGAGTAATTTTTAATTTTTAACTTTCCGTAGGGTAAGTTATAGTAATCAAGTACAAATGGAAATTTCTACATATTTTTACGTATCAAGGGTTTCTGAACATTTTACCTAAGAAAAAATGGATGTATGTGTGTGTGTGTTCAGATACAAAGTTTCTATTCGTACTCATAGGGAAGTGCTGATTAGTGCCAAAAATGATAATTCAATTTTTGAGATTTAAATGAATCAAAAAACCTTTTATTTGTATTGACGAAATGAAGAACTGATAAATGGTTTCGGAGATCCAATAAAAAAGTAAAAAACTAGGTGTATGTGGTATTTGGCCCTAATGTAAGTCGCATGAACTTCCCGACACGTGTAAATAATCGACATAATCAACAAGAATTAAAATTTCACTACATATTTAGATGAAATTTTGAAAATAAAATTTTTCTCTCATTAAAAACTAAATATGTAATGTGATTTTCAATTGATATTTCTCAAACAAACTTATAATATCTGTAATTGTATTGATTATAGTCTCAAATCATATAATGAACACTTACTACGTAAATGATTCGAACGAAACATATATAGAATTGTTTTACTGATTTCAACTAACAAATGTATGTCGATTAGTTGATTAGCAAGTTTATTCTTGTAAGAAATTAATCTTTTGTTCATCGGGCGTTTATTTTAAATAATTTATTTCTGTTTTTATTGTTATCCATTATTAAGGCAAAATGCCACTGACGTCTAGTCATTAATTTGCGGTTGCGCAAAATATTTAAATTATATATATTTCTTCCGATTGACTGTTATTGTTAGGTGCAATTATTTGCATTCAATCCATATAAAGCTCCTTTTGTATGACGTCATGCATTGGATTTGTAATTATTGCCAAATATGGCAATACCTAGATAAGGACAAAAGATGCCCAAAAATAATGCAAAATCAGTTATCGATCGACATGTGAAGTGATCGGATCTCTCTGTCAGTCGTAAGTCGTCGGTTGTCGGTCGTGTTAATTCTGAAGAGTGTCCTGCTGTGCAAGCCGAAGGTCGCCGCGTGTGTGTGTGATTTTAACGAAAATATTTGCGAACAAAATGGTGAGTTTTCGTTTTAATAATTGCTGCTATAAAGTAAATTAATATATAAAGTTTAATATGAAAATAGCACTATTAAAAACTTTGATTTATCATACAAACAAGACTAATAACCTGCGCATTCTATGAAAACCGACTGTGCGCTGTATGGTGTTGTGATCGTAATGTAAATAACTTTGACAAATGAGAAATACAAATGCTTTTCAATACATTTATTATATTAAAGTAAATGTTGAATGAAGAAATTCCATGCAACTGCTATATTATTAAACTAGTGGGGCGCATGGCATTGTGCCTTAAGGCAAATTGCTGGAACTGCGCGTACCAAAAATGATTTTTTTTAAAAAGATTAACATTTTTCAAAAAAATTTATTTTGAAAAAAAATAGATTTTTGAGAAACTATAAATTTTTGACAAAAATTTACTTTTTTTTGAAAAACAAAGACTTTGAAGAAAAAATTATTTTGAAATCATTTGGCAATTCTGAACTTTTTTTTAAAGCAATCGTACTGCTTTAACTGCATAGATACGAAATATCGAAGCGCGTAAGCGCCGCGTCGCCGTTTAACGGATAAACATTGGTACGGAACCCATAGGAATGTTAACAAAATTTATACTTATTGTTAAAATCTCTATAAAATATCTGATATTTTGATGTGCATATGTCTAATGAACATTTTTGAACGCCAAATAGCATTTTTTTTTCACTTTTTTTACTAGATCTCCGAAACCGCTAAACCTGCCTTCATGAAAATTTGATCAGTTCTTCATCTTATTAATACATGTAAAATGCTTTTTGGATTATTCAAATCGGACACTCCGTTCTCTTAAAAACTGAGTTACCGTTTTCGGCACTTTTTGGCCCATATCTTCGGAACGGCTAGACCTGCCTTCGCCAAAAACTAATCAGCACGTCTTCTTATCAATACGAATCGAATGTTTTTTGAATTATTCAAATCGCTTCATCCGTGTTCCCGAAATCGTCGACGAAAATTTGTATCTGCACACACACACATACATCAATTTTTTCTAAGGTATGCCAAAATGTTCAGAAGGTTTTGAAACGTAAAGATATGTAAAAATTTTCATTTTCGATTTTTTTGCGATTACTATATAAACGCCCTACGGGAAGTTAACAATGCCATTTGGTGGTCAAAAATAATCATTAGACATTTATATATTCTAATAGACCTGTGATAGAGTATATCTTTATTCCGATAATACAAATCAAGCTTTTTACTTTTCATAGTTGCTCGTTAAAAATATTATAGATAATGATTTATAAGTTATATCTACGGCTTGCCATTTTATTTATGTATTTGTGAGTTGATATTAGAACGTTACAAATAGCTTTTATTCAGTATTTTACAATAACGGAGCTTTCATCTAATGATTTTATAAAATACAATACATAAAATTGATTTTAATCCATTCAAATCTGTTATTAAACCGCTTGGAGAATCTGCTTATCTATATACATCATTTTTCTCGAAAATGATTTGGTCTTAAAATAATATATTTTAAAATCTGTAGTTTAATTCTATGTTCTAAATATTTAATATATATGTTACTTAAATTAATTAATTGATTAACTAATTCAATTATCATGAGTTTTTTAAAAGTATTACGTTCGCGTGACCGTTCCCAAAGATCCTTTCTTCGTGAGTAGAATAGGTTATTGTTTTATGCAAATTAAATACGTTGTATAGGACAACCATTATCAATTTATTAGTTTTTTTTATCTAATTACATGAAAGATTACTATAAACTTTTAATTAATAATGGAAAACAAAGTACTTACGTTTCAAGTTAATTATATATTTTTCATTTCATTATATACTATGGTTTTTGTTACATACATTCTAAAAATGTTATATTTTTTCAATAAAATGATTATTAAATTTGGTCAAAAAGAAATATTGGTAAATTTTGCGTTTCATTTCTATTTCGTAATATCTTAGCACTTCGTGGCATACTGCGAGAACAGAGATGCCCTGTTTTCTCTCAAATAACTGTAGTGATTTTAAATATTTAAGAATCTTCTTATTAATATTGGGCGAACTGATTTTTCATAATTAGAATCAAATAAGTAAAGAAATTGTCAAGAAAATATTAGAAAATAATATTTACTTTTCCTAGTAAACTCTGCATGCTTATGAAACGTTCGGTTTTTATGTATCGCAAAAAATTCATAAATATAGGGGAAATACGGAAGAAATTACACAGTGGCTTTATCCAATTTTCCCACCTGTATAACGCGAAGAAAGCTTCAAATGTATATCGCGCCTTCAAAAGTTTATTTTGAAAATGGTTTCGTCATGTTTTTTGGGACTAATTCATTATTATTTGTAATTATTTCTATTAAAATCCATGTGCTTATGCTAGTACTAGTGATTTTAATCAATTTTATTGAAATTATCAGACATTTGATGAATTTTTGATTATTCATTCATTTTTGTTGAAATTCGGACGTAGTATAAGAAAAAAAAATTAAACCTGTCAAAGGTAATTGGCTTTTATCTTCTACTCTAACCACTTTCAAAAACAGAATTAAGGATCCGTCGGTAAAATGAAGAAACTCGCGATAATATTATGTTTATTTTCATATATAAAATAAAATGTAAATACGATGAATGATTCATAAAAATAAACACTTACCTTGAAACTATGTTCTACAGTTTTGAGTCCTTTTCCAGAGGCTCTCGCACGCTTCGATTCTTCAATTCCACCAATATAGTAATTTTCGCTTAAATCTAAATGTCTGGAGTTTTGAGGCAGTTTATTGCTTAGTTTTTCATTATCAACTATTAGCTGCAATATAATGAATTGACTGTTAGAAATTTATAATAACAAAAAATTTCTTTAATAAACATAGCAATAGCCAATTGTTTTATTTTTTGTTATTTCTATTAATTTATCAAATGTGACTATCTAATTAATTATATAAATTTATAATTATTATATAAATTTTCTGTATTAAAAAAATAAGTTCGCGAATGTATGCTGTAATAATATTATAATCACCTAAAATATTCTTTTGACTGGGAAAAGTGTTGAGTAAAAACATTATTTGAAAGCTCACACTGATAAAACAAGCATATAATATTATTAATATAATTAAAAAAATAGATAATTTGCATACGAAGTGTATAGTAAAATTATATAACATGACGTTTTAATGTAATTCGAGCGTTGGAACAGGCAATATCAAAAAATATATATACTAATCAGTTTTCTAACCTCGACCATTGCGGGATTAAAAGTGACGTCTAACTTGTGCCAAATGCCGTTTGACACGAATACAGGACTATAGAGTTCTGTAACACCACCCGAGCCCTTATTGAACAAAATTCGGACGCGCCCTTCGATTATTTCGACTGCCACGAAATCTGCCCTTGAAGACTGGCCGGTGTTGTACAGCAGGGTTGCGTGATTTACTAGCGTCTTGATTTCGAATTGCCATCTGAAAAATATAACGATATATTATTAATAGTTTTTTCTTATTTCTTTTACTCATAACAAGCAGAACATTCTATTTTGTTAATTTGATTTACATTAAATTATTATTGGGTCTCTTGCAGAATTACTAATGGTAGTTGTGCAATGTTCGATTTTATTATATGCAAATACATAATCATATTAACACATGTCGAAGTATGCAACTTAAATTATCAAAAGAGATTGAATTTCCGCTCAAAATATTAAATTCACAAAAAATACAGCCAACCATCTCTGCGTGTTGTATTCAACACGCAGTACTCTGGAAACGCAGTTTCTATATTACGCGGAGCTAAAATTTCGCTAGCCCTCCTATAACGCGGAAAGTCTTATATTTGGGCGACGAACTCTATCCATGTATATATACAAGAACAAAAACATAAAAAACAAAAAATAATTGGAATGCTTCCGAGAACCTTATCAGATTTCTCAGTTTTACTAATAAACATTTTGAAACTGAATTGCAAAGTTTAATATTATTGTTATCGAAAATTATTAAAAGTACTTACGGAAACTTACAATTTTTAAAATACTGGACCTGTCTTGCCGAAAAACTAATCATTTTTGCACACCATTGACAAAAGCAATATGCCTCATGAATCACTCTAATCGGATGATACGTTGCCAAAAACTAACCAGTATGTTTCGAATCGAATGTTTCTTGAGTTATTCAACTCAGTCGATCCGTGCTTCTGATATCGTGGACGAAAAATTTTATCCAAACACAGATATCCGAAGTTAATTGCCCTGGGCCCTTAACAATTAAAAATGTATTCTTTTTTTTGCATTTATTGCCTTTCATATAGCGCGGTACAAATGATGTGGTTTACATATTAGGCGCCACGCACTCACCGCGTTATAACAGAGTTGGCTGTATCATAGTAAATTGGCGTGAATAAAATATTAGAATATCTAATTTGCAAATATTGAAATAATTATTTAAGTATATTTGCAAATGATAGAGAGAGTATTTTAATTAATTACGTTTCAGCCGATTTTTCTTTGTGGCATTCTATGAGAAATTGTAAAAATAATTAAAAATGTAGAATTTGCATTGGCGCTGTTGTTATTGCAGTCATTGACAATGTATTTGAGATAAAATTATAGTTTAACCTGCTAACCTGTCATAAAAGCGCCTCGAAAATTACCTACGGACCAGGCGTATATGTTTGATCGACTTTTAAAATTATACTTGTTTTGTGCTTCTTTTTTTACCCCGAAAATATTAATAAACAATATATATATTGAAGTTTTTTATTTATTTTGTATCAATAAAAATATAAAAAGATGAAATTATAGAGGCAATACACTCCCGGTTAACAGGGTAAAAAACTAGATTATAGTGCCAATAAAGACCTTTTAGAATATGATTCTGAAAATTAATAGATGTAAAAGTAGTTCGAATTCGGTAATTTTTTGATATGTTAATGTAAGTATATTACATAAACAGAAATTTTTCGAATGCGAAAAAGAAGAAAATTCAAAATTTGAAAGTAAAATATTTATCTTTTAAAACAAACTTTCAGAGTTTTATACACTTTCAATTTTTGCTAGATAGAATTGAAAATGCGTCAATTTGATATATTTTGTCTAAGTATCATGGAAGTTTCTAAGTATCGGTAACGATTTAGTAAAGTAAGAAAAATCAATTTTAAAGGTAGTTACTTATCATGAATCGTCATATGTGATATAAATAATGTGATGTTACTAACCTTGCCCCAGCCCTGGACGACGCTTTCTGCAACATCATATAGGCACTATCCTGTACGAAGCTGATGTCTGTGTTGACGTCCGCGTCAAATTCAGCGGCACAATTCCAAGTAACGGCATTTACTTGTACTTGACCAGATCTTTCCCTAGCCTTTTGCAAAATTGATACGTTGTTGTAAGATACCTGCAACATAACAATCACTTTAAATAAAAAAGATCTGTATATACTCTATATCACTATGTAGCTTAAATACGGATATTCCATTCTTTGCATAAAAATATTTTATTACCTCTGCTATGCATCCTCGAAAATTATCCATATGACCAAGAAATAGCTCCGAAAAATCTCCTTGACCTCCTATGAAAACCCCAAAATGGATATTCAATTCGAAAAATCTGCCTGGAAGACGTTTTCTGTAAATCAAATCATAGTAATTAGTAGGATATTATGCAATTAAGCAAACTTCTATTTTATAAACATGTATAATATGATTTTTTAATGTATTGGTGATGAATATAGAGAAAATTTGAATTTTAAACTTTTTTTATAAATTTTGAATTGCTTTTAAAGACATCTGTTAGATAGATTACTTACTAACTTCCCAAAGAAGTTTGTTTTCGTCATAAAATCCGATTTGCTATTTTTTTGACGTTTTAACTCTATTAAAATCGTTTAAGACTAAAATTGTAATAAGTTATTTCTTATTGATAAAATCAATTATTTACACATATCGGAAAGAAAAACCTAGCAAAACCTAAAATCCAGTTAATAATTTCACTTCATTCTATATATTTTTGATAAACATTAATACCGATTTGGGGCTCGCCCGTAGGTTAGCGGTTAAGAGCGACGAGACTTGTTTCAGAGGTCCCGAGTTCGATACCCACTTCGAGCAGCCTGTTGTCAGACAGCAGTGACAACGATTTTCACTTGAAAATATAGATAGCAATATGTTTCCAAGTGAAAATAGCCCTTGCCCGGCATTGCTGTACCAATAAAAAGTCAGTCCTATTAGATTAATTCTAATAACAAAAATCATCAAATATGGATGGATTAACCATTGGGTTACCATCTAAAAATACGAAGTAAGGAGAAGTTTCAGCCCAACAGCTCATAGGTCGTATAAGGTTCTGATTGCTGTTAAAAATATAATAATAAAAAAATACCAATTTGACTGCCACTAATTGTGTCCGAACATTCGAATACCACTTTCCATATCAAAATAACCGTGAAAAGATACAAAAATTCTATTTTTAATATTGATGAAATCAATAACTCACATTACGGGGTTAGTATACTTTACCAGAAAGTTAATTAGGATACAGAAACCTAAAGTGCCTAACAGATGAAGGCAAAATTAACATGGGCAATGTCGAGATTTTGGGTATGTATATACGGAAAATTGATATAACCCAAATAACCGTACCTTGGAATATAAAAATATTTTTATTTAATACATGTTCTCCATATTTTGCATGTAATCAAATCCTATTAATTACTTACTTATATAATTATAAGTACACATGGCATTTAAAAAACAACAACTGTAAATTGAATCACATATTCTAATTTTTTTTGTCATTTTTCAGATTTTAGGAAGTAACTTAGAAATTTTATTCAACGCTCTATGTGCCTAATTTATTGATATTATTTCAAATAATTATCACTTTTTTCGTGATCTTAAACGTTGTAAAGACAACCTATATCAATATTTATGGCCGTTGCTAGGCTTTTCAACCTGGAACAAAATTTTCACGCACAGAAGTGTGTCACATATATCATATACTACGAATAAAAATGTTCAAACTGCTTTTTTGTCCCTTCATTTTCTTGGATTTAAAATAAAAACTCAGCCCATATAATAGGCCCAGATAAAGGAGTACACAGAATAAAGAATTTTCGAATTCTTTCAGATCTTATTGTAGATTGGGCTAATATTATACGCATTCATTTAATTAACTTTGTAGTTTATTAAAGTAGGACAGTTAAAACTTGATAAAAGAAATGAAGTTAAATAAAAATTAGTCTAATTTTAAGATTAATCTTACTTGACTGAGTGAACCGTGTCTATTGTGAGAGTGAGATTTGCTTCTTGTCGGGTGATGAGTACGTCGTGCCATGACATGTCGTTTAGCACGAGACCCTCGGGCGATGTCACCTGTAATCAGAATGTTAATTACATTTGATATGTATATTATGCGACACCATGATAATTCTAATTCGAAGCATCAGACAAACCAAGAAAATCTGTCTAATGTTATATATATATATATATATATATATATATATATATTTAGGGTGGTCCTTATGGACATTTAGGTCAAAATATGGACATTTTTGAATTTTCTTGGTCTCAAAGGCTCAAATAGTTCCAAATTGATAAAAAACAATTCTGTGAAAGTTTTAGCTCTTAATATTGTCTTTTAGATAGAGCGCAATTCAATCAAAATTTTGTATGGAAATAGCATGAAAAAATTTTCAAACATTTTGCTGAGCGCCGAATTTTCAATGAAAAACGACACAAATTTTCACTTTTAATTTATTTGTCGCTAAGTTATACCTAAAAAATTTTTTTTAATTTTCAAAATTTTTTCCGAAAAGTTAATATTAAGAGCTTCGAAAATGTCCATATTAACTATTATATTAAGTATTTCCCTCTACCCAGAAGAATAAAAAACAATGATTTTTTTTTGTAGGTGTTTAATTACAATGTGGCTTATATCTCGAAAACAAGTAAAGTTAGGACTTTTTTAACAACAATATTGGAAAGTAGAGGAAAAAGGATGTATAACCAGCCATCACCCCAATTTCTACGACATCGTTATCGGGAGATAAACGGTAATGTTTGAAAATCCATTTTTGTTGTGAGCACTCTTGTTCAAATTACAAGACCTTAATATAATTTACATTATTTAAATGTTTTATAATATGAATTGTTATTTTCAAGTTCGATTCAGCAGCTCCTTATATATAACCTTTATAAAAGCTTACATGTGGGTGAAGTTGAAAGGACCATCTGAGCCTTTACCCTGGCAAAGATGTAAATATTAAAAAATAGTAAATAAAAAGTTAAACTATGTATTTTCATATTTATTGTTGAAAAAGTTCTTAACTTTACTTGTTTTTCAAATAATGGTGGTGGACTTTCTACCCGCGAACCTTTAAGCCCCGCTCTACCCTACCACATTTGGCAAATTTAAATCTTTCTTAACAGAAGACAATGCTTTGTGTTTAATATCATCAACTATTTGGAGTCACTTATCACCCAGGGACACACAAAATACTAGTACAGTCAACCCTCCAATAACGCTGTACTTCAAAAAGGCGGTTTTTATACTACGCGGAGCTAAAACTCTTTCAAAGATCATTAATCTTTCTGAAAAAACTTTTGCTAGTTTTTTTCAATGCGAAATAGCTCTTTAGTTAAATTTTTTCATATTCTTATAACTCTTCAATTCGATAAAAATAATTTACATTGTTTTCATCATATCCTCATATGAACTCTTCAATTCAATAGAAACAATTGCTGTGATTTGTACTAATTCTGAGTTGCGCACTCGCTCACCTTATTGGTGGGTTGACGGTATTTCTGTGTTAATCTAATTTGAAATATGTTTATGTAAGCCCGTTATGTAATAAATAAATGTCTTTCTACTTTGTGGCCAGTGTAATATCGTATACATTTTTACTTTGCCGGAATGAGTGCCGTCATTAATTTTATCTGCAGGTGTCATTAAGCGCCACTTGAAGGCAATTCATTCTGAAATGCCAGGGTTTGTCGGATTTCTCCCCATGTTACCAACACTTAAATTCTACATTCAAATGGAATGACCTCAACATCCAGTTAATAGTATCATTTATTTTGACGTAGGCTACGTATATCCTGAGAGCATTGTGTGCCCTAATGGATACGTTTCAGGATTTTTATACATCTCAAACGTAACCAGAGGAAATGAGAAGCATTTATTAATTAAAATGAAATCACTAACTGAGGTAGGCGTTTTGTTTTTGAAACAATGTTTTTGCTGAGTAATTAATTCAATTGTAAATACTCGCTGAAATACATTTGCGGGTAAATGGAATTCTCGTGGAATTAAAAATCCGGTTGTTCGTCAATTGTTTTTGCCAATCGGATCATTACATATCTACTGCCAGTTTCTTGTGAATATCAAACACTAACAATCAAAATACAATGAGTTATGTGCAATTTAATTTATTAACTTAAGTTATTGTAATCGTTCAAAAATTGAAATTGAAAATTTTTGCGTTTCTTTACGTTTTGAAGGTTTTTGAACATTTTGGCATACCTCAGAAAAAATTGACGTTTTTGGGCGCATGGATCAATCGTTTTGAATGGTTCAAAACTACTCGATTCCTATTGATGGGAAGATGTAATGGTTAGTTTTTGGCAAAGGCAGGTCCAGCCGTTTTGGAGATACGGGGCAAAGAGTGCAAAAAATTGAAATGGTGTTTTTGAGAGAACGGAGCATCCGATTTGAATGATTCAAAAAATATTCTATTTGGGAGAAGTGGTGATTAGATTTTGGCAAAAGCAGGTCTAGCCGTTTCGGAGATACGGAGTTAAATATGCAATAAGTGACAGTTTTTAAGAGAACTAGCATCCGATTGGAATGATTCAAACAATTTTCTGCTCGTGTTGACGAAACGATTGCTTTTCGAAAAATATTTTTTTTTTTAATTTTTATTTTAATTTTCAAATAATGTTTTTTTTACTAAATTTTATTCTCCGAATATTTTATTATGGTACGGGAAGTTCCAGCAATTTGCCTTAAGACACGATGTCATATACCCCTAGTTTTAATGGAGTTGATAACTTATTTCTCTATCATCATAAACAGCATATCACTATTATTACAAATTATTTATAAATAAATTACAATTATTTTAAAAACACTGTTATTTATATTTTCATCGCTGAAAACTAGTAGGTTGAAATTGAGAATATTACACTTAATAAAACTTCTAAAACTAAATTAATTAGCCCATTTACTGGATGTTCTCGGTTTATACCGTTTAGGGAAACGGTTTTAATTATTAATAATTAATAATTTTTCTTATCCTCAATTTACAAAAACTTAGTTTTATTATCTTTGCAAGTTTCGACTGTAATTTAATCAAACTCAAACATTTTTTTAAATATTCTAATAAGGATCCGGTGATTCCGGACGTCCGGGTATGTCTAACTCAAATATGGCAAAAGTTTTGTTCTGAATCCGATCAATTTTCTGAATTGAGCGGTGGTGGGGCATTATTATTGAAATATAAACTCTTAATTTAATCTGACATAGAAACTAGAAACGCCAACAAGCTTCATCATATTAGGATCATTCGTGACTTTATTTTAAAGATGAACTATATAAATCCAGATTTATTCATTGAACGAATTCGAATAGCCTTTGATGAAAAATTTGGCAATATTCAAGAGTATATTATTTTATGCACTTAGAACAGTTTATTGTACCAAAGTTCAAGCCTCTATTAAAATTGTGTAAACTTAACCCTTACCGGATGCCGCCGTGTTTTCAATCTCAATGTCAATGCAATATTTGTGCACTAGTGATTTGGGATAAATATTATTAAAGTGAATTGAAGTAATATGCGAACTGAATGCGGTAAAAAAAGGAAAATCAAATTTCAGGAATAGGGCCTCAACGTATGATCTCACGAAAACCTGAGGTTCAAAAATATGAAAACTCGAAAATGTAAAAAATAGATTTATTAGCATCGTTTTGTGTTGTTCGAATCGAGGTCATGATTTTTAGTACATTCGTCAATAGTCAAAGTAAGGTGCGCTGCTAATATATGGGATGAAAAAGATGGAGTTTATTTTACAAAATTGAAACATATTATCACTACATTTTACTTCTCTGTTAACATAAGCTTATATTACATACATATTAAGCTAAAAACGGATTAATTTCAATGGATTATTATACGTTATACTATATTGATGAAAAACACTATTTTCGAAATCAACAGTAGAAATGTTATTTAAGTAACTTAATCTTTATTCTAATTCATTAAGGTTTATTATAGTATTTTCACATTTGTAAAGTTCAAGCAACTTGCCTGAAGGTAAAATGTAAAATAATAACCACTTACAGCTGGTTATTTTATACAGTTATAGCCTTAAAATAGTCTAAATATCTTAATATTTTTTTCCAAAATTTCCAATTCTAATCGCAAATGGTCACTGTTTTATACGCACGACGAATATATGTGTAAATACACAAAATTTTACCATTTTCCATCACAGGCTAATTTATTCATATATAATAATAATAATAAATAGTAGTCTGCCAGAAGGCAGGTCCATGGTATGATAGCACCACAAATCAAAGATTCGCTTTCTCCCCCGTATTTATTATTCTCATCACCGTTTTGCTTCTATTATTAATTTTTGCAAACACTTTTATGCTTTTTCCTTCCTAAACTTCTGCATCCATGCTTCTTGGTCTATTTCAAGGCAGTTTGTATCTCCTTGATTCACTCGAACTTTCACTTTCTGTCCGATATACAGGTTCTGGACCAGCCTGCGGTCTCTTCATCGATTCCAATAGATTTTAAACTTCCTATTAGTGTACTTGAGTTGAATCTGTCAAAAGCTTTCTTGCCAATCTATGAAATAGGAGCAAATATTCATGAAATGTGCTCATGAACGTGGAGACATCTGTCCGACATTATTCTCAATATTTCAATGGCGTTTATGGTGCCGCTTCCTTTTCCGACACCAAACTGGTCTTCGCTCATGTGCTGTTCGATCTTATTTTCGAATCGTTTCGTTACAATTTTGGCCAGAATCTTTCTTGTGTGCGAAGATAAACTGATAGTCCGGTGGTCATTGCTTTTGTTTGTTTTGGGCTTTTTCTGAAGAGATATCATTGTGACACCAAGAAAGTTCTTTGACCATTCGCCCGTTAGGTTCAGCAGCTCAGTCAGCTTTCTTAATCCGATAATATGATGGGACCGATTCTGCCGCATAATAGAAAAATGTTATAGCAAGGCCATGTTAAGCTCCAACTTCCATATATAATGCTACAGAATTATATTAAATGTCATGTATTCAGACGTTTTACATATAAACTGCAACGTCACTCGTATGTTATGAACCTGTGTCAGAAAGACCCTGTTATCTAAAATCGTTTATTTAACTTCCCGTAAGGCAAGTTATAGTAATCGCAAAAAATCGAAAATGAAAATTTTTATATATCTTTACGTTTCAGAGGTTTCTGAATATTTTGGCATACCTTAGAAAAAATGGATGTATGTGTGTGTGTGCGGATACAAATTTTCGTCGACGATTTCGGGAACACCAATCAACCGATTTGAATAATTCAAAAAACATTCGATTCGTATTGATAAGGAGACGTGCTGATTAGTATTTGGTGAAGGCAGATCTAGCCGTTCCGAAGATACGGGTGAAAAGTGCCGAAAATGGTAACTCAGTTTTTAAGAGAACGGAGCGTCCGATTTTAATAATTCAAAAAACATTTTACTTGGGTTGATAAGATGAAGAATTGATCAAATTTTCACAAAGCCAGGTCTAGCGGTTTCGGAGATCTAATAAAAAAAAGTAAAAAATCAGCCATTTGGCGGTCAAAAATGTGCATATGCCTAATGCACATCAAATTATCATATTTTATAGAGATTTTAACAATAAGTATAAATTTTGTATACATTCCTATGGGTTCAGTACCAATGCTTATCCGTTAGACGGCGACGCGTTTTATATTTCGTCTCTATGCAGTTAAAGCAGTACGATTGCTTTGAAAAAGAGTTCAGAATTTCCAAAATATGTCAAAATAAAGAAAACATTTTTTTTTCAATAATTTTTTTTTTCAAAAAAAAAGTAATTTTGCGTCAAACTTATAGTTTCTCAAAAATCTAACTTTTTTCAAGTAAAACTTTTTCAAAAATATTAATCGTTAAAAAAATAATAATTTTTGGTACGAGAAGTTCCAGCAATTTGCCTTAAGGCACGATGCCATGCGCCCCACTAGGTGACATTTGTGCGGTTTCTAGGTTAGGTTTTTTTATCTGACAACCTGAGAAATGCGCCTGACTGCACAGAAAGCACGTGACTTTTTCGATATTTAGTCTGAAAAGTTCTTAATATCATAGCCTTGCCATAACATTAGTCTGTTATGTGGCAGATTCGGTTCATAAGCTTTCATCAGTTATAGACAATGCTTCCAGATAGTGTATTAATAGGTAAAAATATTCAGTTTCGGTTTCTAGGTTAGGTTTTCTATCTGACAACATGAGAAATGCGTCTGACTGCAAAGCAACCACGTGGCTTTTTAATATTTAGTATGGAAAGTTCTTCATACCATAGCCTTGCCATAACATTAGTCTGTTATACGGCAGAATCGGTTCATAAGTTTCCATCAGAGATAGACAATGCTTCCAGATAGTGTATTAATAGGTAAAAATATTCAGTAGTTACAATATGCGGATGAAAATTAAAGCCGGAGGAGAAAAAAATAATTCCAAAATCTTGTTTCCTAAATTCTCACCTCAGACTCTCCCGCCCCGAGGTTTATCCGGACACTGAGCCTTCCGTTTTCCAGCCGCACCATGCAGTAGTCGATTCGGCCTGCCGCAAGCAATACCAGTGCATCTGTGCGGTGAGTCCGGAAACGGAACCGGATGTCCGAGGTACTCTTGGCTTCTTGCAGCGGCAATGATATATAACTGTCGCCATAGAAGGACGCTGCAATAGAATAAATTCGATATCAAAAATAGAACACGAACCAGGCTAGACGATTTCTATTCAGGATAATTGCTTATATAATACGCCTTGCTATGATATTTGCGAGGTTTCTTTATTATTGGTTAACGGTTTGCGGTCTGTGGTTAAAGAAGACTTTAACAAAGTATTTGGCTCATGTTATTTCTAAAATTTATGATACATTTGTATCAAAATAAAATGCGTTTTAACACTTTGGGGACGGCTGTCCACCTCAGTGGAAAACATACTCTGTGAGGCATAGGCTATTTTATAAACAATGACTCAGTTTGCATCGAAAAGTTGAATAAATTACATATAGCAGTGATAAACAGTATTGTATTTTGGAAATAATTTTAAATTATTTCAGTAGTCTTTTTAGCCTTTTTCTTTGCTATATGGTCTTTTTTTTGATATTTAAAACGATCGAGCGCTTTTAAATATGGCAAAACGACTAGTAAATTTTGTAAATTAAGAAGTAGTGAAGATGAGTTTCAAATAGACATTCATACACACAAATTTTACGAAATTACTATTCGCACCGATGATAGCGATGAATGTGATGATGATATTATCCAACCAACAAAAAGAAGTTCGACAAAATAAATGAAGAGCGGGAAGACATTAGCGAATGTGCCGATCCTCCTTCAATAATCGAGTTTGACATACATCAACAAACACCCCGACTACAAATACCAAGCAATATAAGACATCCAATAGATTATATTACTTTATATTTTATAAATGAATTATTAGACAATATAATAGAAAAAATAAACCGTTATGGCAGCAAAAAATGACCAAATATACTGACTAATCAGTGGCATATTCTAAATTCTAAAAGAAAAAGGGATTGTATTGTCTGTTCTGACAGAAAAGAACCAGGAGGAAGGCGGCGAACAACATTTTATTGTAAAACATGTCAAAATCGACCAGCTATGCATTTTGGAAATTGTTTTGAACGTCACCATTCTTTATAAAATGATCAAAAATAAATTAATATTAAAAATGTATGTCCTTCAATGACCACAAATTTTTATCAAACAAATTGCATAACATACACAATGAAATCAAGTTACAGCAGGTAAAGTAGATTGTTTTGAAATTGGTGCCGTCCCGAAAGTGTTAAAATGAATTTAATTTTGATCTACTTTGACAATTGTTAATTTTTTGTCTGTTAACAGAAATTTCTCTTATATTTTTATATGACAACGCCACAGGCTCCCAATATAATATTCCTTGCCATTACGAAATTGTACAAATCGTAAATTTACCAATATTTTTGTCTAGAGTTCAGTTAGTTAGATTCTTCGAATTTATAAAAAGGAGTCCTTCCATTAAAGGAAACAATTTTGACTATCGGCTCCGTACGCCTCGCACAATGGACGAAGCAAATAGCAAACTTTTTTTTCGGTCTCGTACGTTCCACACAACGAACTTTGCTTCACACAACGTACTATATCATTGTCATTTGTAGCCAAAAAACATATGTTGTTCAAATTAATTCAAAGAGTTGGAAATTCTTGCTCAACTGTGAAAATATATTTGTTGGAGAAAAACTATTGACGCTTTCTTTAAAAATTCAGAAGCTAAAACAGCACAAAAGGAAGCAGCACGACTCTGATACTAACTTATTTTGTAGATCAGTAATATGTTTTTAAATGTCTCAATTATATGTGAAATATATCTTATATTTGGTGGTACCTAGAATGTCTAAATCGAATAACAGTCCAGTGATTGTAAATCCGGGTATGATTTTAAGAATTGTGATAAGGAAAAATTGCTTTTCTAAATTTTCCTAAAAATAATAATTTTAATGCATGATAACATAAAGTTGTACAAATATTAAACTGTTTCAATATTGGTAACTTGAGAACATTTCCAATTGAGAAAATGTGTTTTCTATACACTGAAGTAGTCTTCACGAGTATTTTTAAATATTTATTAATTTTTATAATTTATGATATTAATTAGTTTGGGTGGGACGTCAAATATTTTGAAGTTCTAAGCTACATATTACACTTGCGTTAATTAACTTCTCGTAGGGTAAGTTTCAAAAAAATGGAAAATGAAAATTTTATTCATCTTCACGTTTTAAGGGTTTCTGAACATTTTGGCATACCTTGCAAAAATTGGGTGCATGTGTGTGTGCGGATACAAATTTTTGTCGACGAATTTGGGAACACGGATCAACCGATTTAAATAATTCAAAGAACATTCGATTCCTATTGACGTGCCGATTAGCTTTTGGTAAAGGCAGATCCAGCCATTTGAAAGATAGGGGGCAAAATGTGTGAAAAAAGTGGTAATTCAGTTTCTGATATAACGGAGCGTCCGATTTGAATGATTCAAAAACCATTTTAATTGTATTAACAAAAAAAAACCGATTAAATATTTGGGAGGGCAAGTTCACCGGTTTCGGAAATCCAATAAAAAAAAGTAAAAAAAGTGACTTTTGGCAAACAAAAATGATCATTAGACATATGCACATCAAATTATCAGATATTTTAGAGATTTTAATAATAAGTACTTGTTTAGATATATATAAGTTCCGTGCTAATGTTCATTTGAAAGCCTACGAGGCGGCGCCTATGCGCTTTTACAAAATGTTTAAAATTTTCAAAAAAATTCTAAATATAAATTTTATTTAGAATCTAATTTTTTCAAAGTTCTCTAAACTTTTAAAAACAAATTAAGTTTTGGTACTATTGTGATGCACGACTAGTTTCGTAACTAGTCAGATATGTATATTTAAGTAATGATGAATATTAAAGTTTTACATGATTTTATTAAAGTCAACTAAGATGGTTTGCGGTTTTCCCATAATCATCGATCGTTCATAACCATCTTTTTATGCATAATTTTTCCTTCCAATTCATGCATTTTAGTTTTTATTAATATATAATAAGCATTTTTTTACTTTAGCTTGAAAAGTAAATTTTCATATGCATGGTTGAATGTTTTTGACACTATCCGGGCTTTTATTTTTTGCGGAAACGTAAATGATATATGGTTTTATCCGCGTTTTTGTATGCCTTCATAGAATAATGTATTATTCACGGCGCGTAAAATTGAAAACAACTTTTTATTTTTTATACTCGATTTTATTTATTTATTTTATTTTATTTATTACAGAATTTCTAAGCATCAAATGAAGCGTGTAACATTTGGGTAATATAAAGAGAATTTTCATCATACTGAAATCGTATAACTATAATTAACTATAATTCTGATTCAATAAAAAATATACGAGATACGGCTTTTAAAACTTAATTTAACCCTCCGTCGGTCGGATATTTTTTCACCTTCGAACGGTCGGAAAGGTCTGGCTGGACCACCATTCATTTTACATGCATTTATATGGGATAAATGAGTTTTTGGTGTCTTATGTATTAACGATTATATAAAAAAATCAAGAAATATAAAAAAAAACGTTGCTTTTTTGTTAATTTTTCTGTTTTAAATCAATGAAAAACAATATTTATTCTTTTTCGGCGCCTTTGAAATGAATGTGTGCATTACTCATCCGATTTTCAGTGTTTGCGATTACCAATAAGTTTGGTAGGTTTTCAAGGAACTCTCGTTATGAAAATACAATAATTCATGTTAGAACACATAGCAAAGAATATAAACAATAGAAAATACCATGAAAAAAGACAAAATACTGGTTTACATATATCAAAAAGTGTATATTTCATACAAAATGTATGGGTGGTCTAGACAGACCTTTCCGACCGTTCGAAGTATAAAAAAGTTAATATCCTTATAATTATCCTTCTGCACATTTTTTCGTCCTGATTTTTTCATTGATCGACAGCTAATGAAATTTTAGGAAAAGTCAAGAAATTTCAAGTCGCTAGGATTACTAGAAGTATTTTTTTTTTTTAATTGAAGTCGAAAAAAGTCTGGCCAGACCACGCCGACCGACGGAGGGTTAAATACATATTTAAATATTTGAAAATTAATAATTTGTAAATATAAATTTAATATTTACACGTATCATACTTAAAATTCAAAAGATATTGTATTACATTTGTGTTGCCAGATAGCGTTATTAATTATAGTCATTTAGCAATTCATACAATCTATATTGAATTCGTTTTATGCATATTTAATTCTACAAGTAAATATAAACTGAATATGAAAAATGTAATTATTAAGCTACGTATAGTATATCATACGCTTTTTATTTTAAAATTATTAATTATGTAACAACAAAAAACGATAAAATTGCGTGTTAAATTTTTATCTTTTGGTCTTTTCTCAGAGCTATTCTCTCCTACATTCCTGATATTAAAAACAATGATAATTGTATCGTTTAATATTATTGTTTTAATATATTTATTTTTTACTTTTCTTAACTTAATTTAATTTACCATGAATTCTAATTACCAAGGATTCTAAAATTAGAAAGGGAGAGATGGCGAATTATTGATAATAATAATAAAATAATTTTTGTTTGAATTTTAAACATATTAGAGATAAAATTAAAAGTACGAATATGTGGAAATATACTTTTGAAAATGAATGTTATCAAATATGAGAGCTGAAATATTTATATAAGCGATACAAAGAAAAATGTAAATGGATATGACACCAAAAGAAACAGACTTGTTATTTGTAATTATATCAAATGAAAGCAGAAACAAAACCTTGTGTGAATTTCTATGTGATCAAAGCATAAAAAATATATATGAAATGAAATGAAAAAGTATACATTTTATATTCCCTGTTCATGTTTGGGTGAATAGCTATATTTTAATTTATTAAGATTTAAGGTTTTGTTTGAATAAAAGAAATTTCATATATTAAACGACTGTAGTATTCATAGTACAACTTGAATTGTTAACTAAAACTTAATTTTAAAATAGTTTATTTAATACAAATAGAATATTTAGGATATTTATAATGCTATTATAATTCTTTGAGTTTCAATCTATATAATACTCGATGTTAAATAAGGTTAAATATATATATATATATAT